GTTCGAGGATTTTATGCAATCAGTCGCAAAGAGCAAGACAGTTGTTCAAAAATGATGGGAATTTATTGTCTAAAACAATCCTTGAAATACAGGATACAGCAGCAATATTCGTAGAATAAATCTCAGAAGGCCTTCACATCTTCTACGGCATTCAACTATCAGAGCATAGAATACAAGTATGTTAAAGATTATTCACAAGCACTCGCTAGTCCTATTCAACAACCGAAGTTATAACTAATCGTTGGTAGACTCTTCACCGGTCAAAACAATATTACTTAGTTTCGGCGAGGGACTCCCATTTATAGTCTGCACGTAGAAAAGATTTTTCTTAAAAATCTGCAAAAATAGCAGCACAGATTTTTCTCAAATAGCCACTTAAGTCATAGATCACGACATTAGTAGATTTCTCCAGTAATTTCCAGAACAGTCCATATGGTTGCCAAGTCACCAAAAATGGTTACCAACATGATCGCCAAAATGGTTGCCAAAAATGACGTCAACTTGGCTCTATTGCCAATATTTTGCCAAGTTTTCATTGAATTACCATTTTTATGTAAGGAACGGCGTTGCTTGCGAATATTACAATTTTAACGCAAAATAAATAAAACAGAGGGTAATATAAACATATTACACAACCAGATGCAGATAATTTACACTGTTTTAAACACCCATTACACAAAATTCTTAGTAATATATATTTCATCAGCACAGCAGATCCTCACAGGGCTTGACTCTCAACAACACGCTCCTTCCAGCATCCTCTATTTTTAGTGACTTCTCTCTAATTTTTAATTTTTAAAGTAATTAAGTCTTTCTCGATGTCATCTAACTATCTAGTTGGTGGTCTTCTTTTACATATATAGCTCGGGTTCCCTCAGGTTTTTTTAAATGTCAAGATCTTAATGAGGTTACATCTTCCGAGCTTCTCCAAAAATGGCCGAGCCATCTTTATCTTTTACTTCAGATGACTTGTACTATTTTTGGTTGCCGATAAAGCCTGTACAGTTCAAAGTTATATCTGGTTCTCCACCACCCTCTTTCCTGTACTGGAACAAAGAAAGCTCTGAGAATTTTTCTCTCAAATATGTCCAGTGAGCACGTTATAACTTTTTTTAAGGTCCATGTTTCACTTACATAAAGTGAAGCAGGTAATATTAGTGTTTTGTAAGTTCTTAATTTAGTTTTGTGGCTGATTAAATTAGATCTTAACTGTCCTCTCAGCCCGTTGAAGCATTTATTAGCCATTTTGATTTTGTTATCAACTTCTGCTCTTAGTTTATTTTTTATCATTAATTATTGCGCAAAGGTATTTAAATTCGTCCTCTTTTTCGAAGGTGTAACCATTAATACTCAAAGAGGTAGAATAGTTTACCTTGAAGGATGAGATTTCCATAAATTTCGTTTTATCCTAATTGACAGTCAGGCCCATATTTGTGGCAGAAGATTCAAGAGATGAAAAAGCCTCTTTAACTGCCCTTTTTTTCCTTCCAATAATATCTATATCATCTGCGATGGTTCTACAATTGCAGCCGCCTATTCCACAAGATGCCTCTTTGGCCTAATCTGCAGTCTCTAGTGCCCTTTTCTAACGAATAGCAGGCAAGTCAGGGAATATCTTTGACGTAGGCCTCTTTCTGTTATAAAAGGCTCAGACAGATGACTTTGGATTTTGATTCCACTTCTCACACTAATAAGTATGGCTTTGGTTAAATTAATGAGCTTAGTGGGGATTCCAAACTTTGTCATTACCTCAAATAGCTTATCTCTCTCTTAATGCTGTCATACGCCGCTTTAAAATATATAAATAGGTGATAAGTTTTAATTCCGTGTTCCTTAGTTTTTTCAAGGAATTGTCTTAAAGCATGGATTTGGTCTATGTAGATATTTGGGATCTAAATCCACATTGGCAATTTCCAATCACTTTATCAACATAAGGTTGCAGTCTCGCATATAGTAAGTTGAAGGATATTTTATATACCATATTGAGAAGAGTAATTCCTCCTATATAATTATGACTTTCAAGCTGGTCTCCTTTTTTGAAAATTGGACATGTGGAGCTTTCTTCCCATTCAATGGGTATTTTCTCCGTAGTTAAAATTTTGATCATACTATTATGGATTACATTTATGAAGCTTGGTTAATTCATCTTCAGTAGTTCAGATGGTATACCGTCAGGTCCTGCCGATCTATTATCTTTAAGTTTCTTCAAAGCCAGCATTACTTCATCCAAAGATGGTAGGGGTCTGCATGAAAGTAAATGGTTCAACAGTATCAACAGTATTTGGTTCTTCAACAGTTTATCTCTCCCTTAAAGCACGTCTTGAAAATATATTTTTCATACGTTCAATACTTCATGGACTTCTCCCAAGTGTTCATTCTTATTTCTACACTTGAGATAGTTTTTGTTTTAAATTCCTTTTTTATGTTATTGATTAGCTTGTAAGACCTCTTAGATTCTTTCTGGTTAATCAAGTTTTCCAAATTTTTTAGCTTTTCCTCATGAAACACTCTTTTTTTAAATTTTTATGCAGTTTTTTTTTTTTTTTTTTTTTTTTTTTCTGCGCTTTTCTTTTGTCCTTATATTTTTCTTCATACTTTTTAGTATAGTGTTTTTGTATCATCATCCTATAAGTCTTGTTTTTGTTTTCAATAACCTCTTTGTACTCGTCGTCAAACCAATCATTCCTTATTCTAGATTTTAGTTTTGGAAGTGTTTCAAGTTCTGATCTCAATATTATTTCTTTTACAGAGTGCCAACTAATATCAGAATTTTGGTTTCGGTTTTCTAGCTTCATATCATTAGATAACTTGAGCTTATACTTTTTAAGAGTGACTGAATCTTTCAACATGTCTGGTCTGAAACATGGATGCTCTTTCCTATAATAGAATTTCTTACATATTCCACTTCTGACTTTGGACAAGACAAGCATATGGTCAGTATCAATATTCACTCCTCTGTAACTTCTCACATCTATCACATTGCTGTGATGTCTCCTATCTACAAGTATGTGGTCTATTTGGTTTAGAGTTAAACCATCGGGTGATCGCCAAGTACACTTGTGTATTTCTTTATGTAGGAATGCTGTACTAGCAATAATTAAATTCTCCGAGACAGCAGATTCAAATAGTCTCCTTCCATTTCCTTAAGTCTCTGCATGGAGATTTTCCCCAGCAACAAGGAATCTGATAAAACGCTCTCTCTCGATCTTGGCATTAAAGTCTTCAATTACAAAATTCATGTCCTACGCAGGACGTGAATTATAGCTGTTCGCAAGTAAATCATAAACAAGTAATATAAAAAAAAAATTTTAAATCAATTCCTACTTAGGTCAAATTAGAAAATTTTTATTTAGTTACTTTTTATTAAATAGTTACAATTAATATAAATATGTATATACACTGCTGTTTGTAAAAATGCAACACCATGAAGGAATCATCAGAATTAAATGAACTTTGCAGCAAATCTCAATTATAGGATGTTACGTAAAATAGCAAAGTTTCAGAGACACCACGCATGCGTGGCGTGCACAACGCCCTCTGAACTGATGCAGAAAGCGTATAAATAGAGGACTGTAGTGGTACGTTGAAAATAGTTACTGATTATTTGTTAGTGGCGAACGTGTAGTGAGTCCTCAGTATGCCTCCAAGACGAAATAAGGAGAAATTCCAACAACTTATGGAGTTTGAACGGGGGAGGATTATCCACCTTCGAGAAAGAGGATTTTCCTATCGCACAATAGAAGCTCGTGTGCAGCGGAACAGTGATGCAATTTTGGAAGCAGTGGACCGATGAGCCCCGAACAACTCGAAAAACTAGCAGTGGACGACGGAAGGTGACGTCAGAGCATGACGATCGACGCCGGCTCCACATGATGGTGAATAACCGTACAGCTTCCTCCAGGCAATTGGCAGCACGTTGGTCTACTGCTACAGGTGTACTAATGTCGGCTTCGTCAATTCGTCGACGTCTGCTGCACCGTGGGTTACGTGTAAGGGTGCCTTTATACAAGTTCCCCATCACAGCAAACCATAGACGGCTGTGTCTGCAATGGGCTCATGAGCACAGAGCCTGGCAAGCTGATTGGCACCAAGTTGTATTTTCAAACGAATAGCGCTTCAATTTGTCGAACCATGATGGCCGCATTCATGTTAGATGCTACGCCGGTGAACGCTGCCTTCTAGAGTGCGTTATAGAAAGACATAGTGGCCTAACACCCGGAGTTATAGTTTGGGGTGTGATTTTGTATCATGGACGATCCATTTTGCTACGAATTGAGGGCAATCTCAATAGCAACAGGTACGTCGGTGAAGTGCTACAGCCCGAAGTCGTTTCCTTTCTTCAAGGTCTCTTTGGAACTATCTTTCAGCAGGATAATGCACGCCCACATGTTGCAAAGACAGTTCGAGACTTCTGTTCAGCCCAATACATGCGATTTCTTCCTAGGCTTGCTTGTTCACCGGATATGTCGCCTATTGAGCACGTGTGGGCTATGGTTGGTCGGCGTCTCACTCGTGATCCGCGTCCTATAGCTTCAAAAGATGAACTTTTGCTGCGCATAGAAACAATATGGAATTCTTTTTCACAAGCTGATATTCAAAATGTGTTAGACTCCATGCCACGTCGTATAGCAATACTTATTGCAGCGCGGGGTGGCTACACCAAATACCTATTTCGGACACTTAATATTGTTTTTTTGCTTTGAAAATTTCGTCATTTATTTGTATTAATACAAGTCGTTTGTGCTTTACATTTCATTTAATTCTGATGATTCTTTCATGGTGTTGCATTTTTTTACAAACAGCAGTTTACATGTGACAGAATCACAATATTAAATAACAAAATAGAAAGCGATTTTCCTTCACTTTTCCATTTTTCTTTCTATATATGGTGTTGGACTATTTTTTGTTTGTTTGTTTGCTTCAATTTATTCATTAATTAAATTCAATTATTCTAATAAAATAGTATGGTTAAAAAGAAACCACATTCTCAGAAATTAGGCCATTTCAGGTGGGATTCGAGCCCACGATCTTTGGATTAGAAGTCCAACTCGTTATCCATTGCCCTGCAGGGACAGATCGAACAATTTTGTTTTCTATATAGGCTGTTGGACTAACATTTTTTTGTTACTCTTTGTTCATTTTTAATTTAATTAGTGAATTAATATTTGAAGGAACTGTATTAACATCGAGTGTCATCCACTACAAGTTTAAGAAAATAAATTTGAACTTGAATGTATGGAAAATATTGTATTAACGATTGAGAATTTTAACAACATATATATATGTGATGAATTTCCAGCCCTTCAAGTGTCAGTTGGGTAAACTTCATACCAGGACAACACAACCCACCTCTCGTATAAGAACTTTGACTTCTTCTTTCGCTGGACAAAAAGAGACACGTGTACTAACGACTTGCTGGCTGCTGATCAACGCTGAAAGAGATATCGTCTTGTCATGGCTTGGAGTACAGACTGTTTTGCTGAACCTTGGAATAAAATATAATATGATAAACGGCTGCACGTTACATTTCCCTGTCAATCTTAAGAATTACTCCAATACATGATATATATATTTATAGCAGATAGTGAACTAATTTTAGGAATTGAAATCAAAGGTCTTTCTCCACTTCATCCTTTCCCTCAGTAGATACGTGAGCACCATTAAAGGTAGAATTATTGTGTCTCCCTCTCAATCTTGCTTTACAAAGCCTCCTACTACTGGCTTGAAAATCCAAAACTGATTTTCGCAGTCTTTTGCTCACATTGAACTCCAAACCAGATTGGAGGGTTCTGTCTTGACAATTGTAATACACTCTGCATTCCTTTTTGTCTATAATACCGTGTCTCTGTCATCTAATTTCCTGTATTGCAAGGATATCAATGCCATAGTTGTCAAATTCGTTAATTTGAGTTTTCAGTGCACCTCCTTTAAACAAGGGGCGAATATTCCAATTTTCAAGTCCTTTTCCATTCCGGGCAGTTTGGGTAAAGTCAAACCGGTTTTTGCATTTTGTGTGTGTTGAGGCTTCTGAACTAAGACTTTTATAGGGAATTGTACATTAATTCCGTAATTGCTGTGATTGTGCGGCCGACATTTCCACAAGGATCATCAGTGGCATTCCCAGTACATGGAATTTGTTCGATAAGTGCTTATATTGTACTGTTTGTTGGCATTTAGCTTTCTTTGGAACTTCATCTCGTTACAACAAATCTTTAGTCCAGGTGATGAAACTCTGAAAAGACATATTTGCTGTTTCAACAGATGAACCATTTTTGAAGCACATCCAAAAGCGGACGTGTCTGACAATACGGGCATAAAACATTGTTTTGTAATTTTTTCAGTCAGAAGCGTCATTGAAATTAGTTGTAACGGTGAGAAAAAATCCCCCGGTTACCAAAGCAGAATGCTGCAAACCATATATTTCTATTGCCTTTCTTTTTTAAAAAATTCATTTTTCCAAAAGTCGGTCATTTTGGGGATACCTGGTGTGTACAAGGTGTCCCGAAACTCAACATCAAGCGCGCATGGAGTAAAGGGGGGCATATCAGTACTGCGAAAATAAAAAAGAAATTTCCTATATCTTGGTTAAGTGATGACTAGCCTATATATATGTATTTAATACAACCCTCAATAGCCGACCAAGAAATAAATTTTAAGGGCTGAAACTTCAAAGAGTTTGCATTTTTTTCTCTCTAATGAACATGTTCATTACCAATTCTTTTTTATTGAAAGATTTGCAACGTTCTGTGCATATTGTAAACCATTTATGTTTGCTTAATAGATGATATTTCTAGCTTGCAGAGTTTTATTGTATTGAATTACGGCACGTACGTTGTTTTCCTGCGACAATACTCTCCTTGTGCAAAAAATAATATTTTACTAGCAAAGTTTACTTCCCAGCATGAAGAAGAATAAGATGATAACAACCCTAGAAAATTTCACCTGGGTTATCATACTAGGAAATTTAATTGCTCTTGGCAACAGATTTGGCAAAAATATGAATCGTCAACAAAAATTTTCATGAGGATCTCTTTGAAATAAAGGTTGAGTCAAGCAGAAGAGTCATGTGCGTTGACTGCGAAAAGAGACTTTATCTATCTGAGTTCTCCTTCTAGTGGAACTGTTTAGAGAGCCTTTTTCTGGAACGTTGTACAGCTTGCTTATAGCGAGTGCAATTTACTCTACTGTAAATAAAATATGCTATGGTATTTATTTGTATGCATAAGTCAATTTGTCCGTGTAGTCATCTGTTTGTCCTTGTCCGTTAATAAATCTGTTATTATTCAGATAATTGGAGTCGTCAGGTGCTTTTACCTCACTCAAATTTGGAACAATCTTGTTGCAGTCAGAAGTCTTTCTAAAAACCTAAGTTTTTTAAAAAGTTCTTTGTCATTTTCACTGAAAGTATTATAAGTGTTTTACAATAAGTTGATTTCGAGGTGAAGGATATATTTTAATGCGAATTTGATGAAAGTTCATCACTCGCAATTTCAAAAGATTTTGAAAAGGAAATTACGATATGAGAAAAATACGCTTCCTTTATAATAATTTTATTTTTATTTATGGTAACTTCAGAGAAATAAAATATAAATTTTATTCATTAATCTCTACATTTGATTTTATTGCTTAAAATTCAAGAAGTTAACTTAATGATGATAGTTTGGTTACCAAAAACAAAACAGAAGAGGATATCCTCTTAGAATTAGAGGGGATACTTCGTTCATGACTATGCATTGTTACAATTTCACTCAATCTATCGCTAAGCTTATGTGTGTGTGAAGCGCTAATATATGATATATAATTACTCTCCGAGTACCCTCAAGTGGCCCCGGTGGACTTGTGGTTATGGTCACGAAGTCTTGGTGCCACATAAAATCGCTCTGTAGAGGTCGATATGCATTAAATCTGTCGTTGATCAAAGTCCTCACGTTGACGTGGTGTAAAAAGTGAGGTACCAGCTCACGTATCCTCGTCACTTGATTGAGGTTCAAAGTTACGAGCTCCGTCACCAATAGCCCTCTCCTTGTTTTATAGGCTTTTTACTGCGATGTTAATAAAAAAAAACCACATCAAATCTCATGTTTTGACTTAATTGAGAATAACTGCAGCTGGCAAATAGATAAATGACTTGTTTAGCGATTCACAGAATAGGAACTGCTTAGTGAGGATATGTATAGTTTCATTAAATGTTAACGTAGCAACAAAAGTTATCTGTACATAAATTTCCATGTATGACTTTTTATAAACATACAATAAAAAGACAATAAGATAAAAACAATTCAATACTTAAATTCAAAACTATGAAATAGCGCGGTAAGAAAACCTCCCCTTTTTAATTTCAGACAATGGCCGTCGTTGCCTACCCGCCCGTGTAGTGGGCAATTCACGTTAAATCTGTCTAAGCTCAAACATCCTCTCGTTGGTGTGGTGTGGATGTTAGGAGAGGGGGTGACAGCTCAGAAATCGTCCTCATCACTTGACCATGGTTCAAAATTACGAGGTCCGTCGCCAAAAGCCCTCGAGTAACTATATGTGTGGCGTTAATATTCACTCACTCCCTAACTAATTTCAGACAGCAACCTTACAGCAGGAGTTCTGTAGAGAGTGATTTTCGTTTGGTTCAATAATGAGCTTTACAATACATTTGGCAATTTTCAAAAAGGACCCAAAAATTTAGAAGTAATCCAGACACGTTACAGATTATAGATTTTACTGCTATAATAAAAACCCAGCATTACACATCCGTCGAAGCGGTTACCTTTTTAACACGCTTTTATAAGTTTCACTTGCATATAACGGAATCTTGGAGCTCGATTTTTACCCACTTTAAAAGGTCAGATTAATTCAAAATTTTGCACAGTTGTCAAGGACCGATAACAATACAATAATTTCATAATTTTATTCCATTGTCCTTTTTAGGATCGTCAGGAATAAGGATAATCAGATTTTGGCGACAATTCCATATACCACTTCCAGATTTGGCGACTTATTGCAAATACCAGTTTCAAATTTGGCGACTAATTCCATATACCATTTTCAGATTTGGCGACCAACTTCATACACCATTTCCAGATTTGGCGACTAATTTCAGATTTAGCGACTAAAAGAAGAAGGTGTAACCTAAAGCGAGTGTTGTGAATTTAAAGCTAATTATATGCAAGTATAAAATACATTTGCTTTAACAGAAATAAAACAAATAAAAAAAGTGTTTTGAATCTGAGAAAGTGGAGGGTGGGTGGGTGTTATCAATTTCTTACCATAATATAAACATTTTTCTGAAAATGAAAATAAAAAAATGGCTCGTGCATGTGAAAAAAAATAATTTATGTTCTAACTGCTAAATATTTTTAATTTTTATAAAGCAATACGTTTAGAAGTGATGATATGAATTAACATTATAGTAAAAGGTGAAAAAATGATTGAACCTTAATATTACCATGTTTTTATTAATTCAATTTCTTTAATGTCTGTCCGGGTGGAATTTTGTAATTGATTTTAAACGGTGTGACTTTCCGATGAGCTAGAGACTTGAAATTCGGACCATAGCTCAGAAGTGGATGACAATGCATGAAAATATGAAAAAAAGAAAAAAAAACGAAAAAGGAGGAATTTTATACTTTTTAGTCCGTTTTAAAAACATGATACATTAAAAAAATTTTTAATTCGAACTTTTTCTTCTCAACAATCTTTTATTTGTTTGACCTGTTCTATAGAGACGGAATCTAATATAAGGATGCGGGATTCATCCGAGGCCCCGTAAGCGGAGAGAATAAATACACTTCAGACCCGTTAATTAATATCCACTGAAGAGCAAGACTAATTCCAGCAGCCATGTAATTCCAGCTTCAAATATCAAACTCAAGGATAAATTCAAAAATGAATAAATGAAAGTTTAAAAAACTAAAAAACACGCTTTCATTGTAGATCGAACTAAAAAATGAAAAATAAATTATAGTTTTAAAAAAAACCTAAAAAACACGCTTTTATACTGTAAATCGAACTAAAAAGTAAAAAAAAAAAATTTTCTGATATAAGAAAAAAAATGATTAACGAGAAAATTAATGCCA